ATGAACTATTCAGAATAAAAGAAAAATAGACATTTGATTTTTTACTTATGTTGATGTTGTTTCTCAATAGAAAGTGAGAATGAATAAATGTAAAATATATGCAATAAAAAAAACCGGAGAGAAAAGAAAAGAAAAGAAAAAAAGAACTGTTTGTGCTTGTCGTTGTTTCTTCTTGGTCGATTTCTTTGGCATCCTACTCAAGAACAAGAGCGAACGCAATAACATAAAGAACATGCTCACCATCAACGTCTATCGACATTTATTCGACAACAAAAAACATCGCTGTCAATAACAACCCAACAGTTTTTAGTCTTCTTTTTTTTTTTAAGGAAAAAAAAAACTGTTTTACATTAAATCAAAGATGCAATTAAATTGAAGAGAATTTTATTTTTTCTTTTTCTTTTTCTTACCACTGATAAAATAACATCAACCTTCAGTGGCAAGTCCAAGATGTTTGTCAAGTAGAAGTGGGAGGAGAACACAAAGGACAATGACGACGAGACGGGTCGATTAAACATAACAACTCATTTGTTAAACTTAATCGAACTTTAATGAAAACAAGTTTTAACCAATATTTATTGGAAACATCATTAAAATGTTCAAAATAAAAACTCAATAAATAATTCTCTGATCAACTTGTTCTTATCACTATTTTAGACTAGTTTTATTTAAAAGAAAAATTCTTTTTTTTTTTAAGACCTTTTTAATTAATAACTGTTTTAAGTGAAGACTAATTTGTTATTTAATAGAAGATTTTGTTTCCAATATCAAACTTTTATTATTGAGTAAAAAACTAAAAATGATAAAATAATATTTACTTGTTTTTGTTTATATTTAATTGACTGATTCAATAAGAGAAATTAATTTAAATAGAATTCTATAAATCATACGAATAAAAATCTATTCGAGTTTTCGATTTTGTTTCTTTTTTTTTTTTTATTGAATAAATATTGAGTTTAAATTTTTCTTTTGTTTTGATTTTGAACAATTGAAAATTATTTTTAAAATAAAATTTTCCATACGAACAAAGAAAAACAATATTTCGATAAAATATTTTTTCTATTCTAAAACCTTTCAACACTTTTTATTTTAAAATAAAGAATATTTTCATTAATAAAAATTCATTTAAAATCGATATTGAAAAACAGATAGAACTTTCTACTGAGATTTATTTATTTATCATTAGAGATTTTTAAGTTCTTTATTTTATTCGAACTTTACTTTTTTTTTCTCGAACTTATTTATTCAAAGATAAATTCATTATGAAATTTTTCCTAAAATATATTCTGATCGAGAAAAAACAAAAAAAAACATTTTTATTAATTATAGAGAATTTTATTCAATTGACCAGTGTTCCATTAGAATTAAATAATACTTTGATATTAGCATTATCATTAATGCGAATACATATATTCTATGGAAGTTATTAATTTCTATTTCGAATTTTCCAAAGTTTTTCATCGAAGGTACTTACAGATTTTCAACAGATAGTCAATGGAAGCACTGAGGATTCGTCTATGAAGGATGCTTAGAATTCTGCAAGAGCTATTCATTGCCCTACTAAAGACTCATTAAAATCTATCTGTCTTAGGTACTTATAAATCTTCAAGAGCTATTCAGACGATGACTTATTATTAATAGTATCAAGCTCACGCTCATTAGCTGTTTAGCTGAGCATGAGTAGTTATTCTCTGCATGTTATATCCGACATAACGAATATGATCAACCAAACTGGAAGTTAAAAATAGGAGTATACCATTTACATCACTTCTATATTAAGATCAAAGTAATGTCTTCACACTAAATATAATCTTAATGGTCACTCAATCACTAATATTAAAATTATGTTTTCTTTTGTACTTAGATCCTATTCGATAAATAGGAAATGATTAATTGATACATCTGTAGAAGATACTGTTGCATTTCACTTTTTTTTTGGATAGAAAAAAACTAATTCTCTGCTATCATCACATCGATGTCAACAACACAGTGATTTGATAATCTTGCAGAAGAGAAATAGTACTTTCAACTTTCATTTTGTTGATAGAAATATTTCGATCAATGAGATGTCAAAAAGACTTTTCATCGATATTCTATAGATGCATCATTCACTTTCTCAGGTGAATTCTACTCCATAGGATTTTTCTCTCATATGACTCTAACAATAACATGCTAGATTCGTAGAATAACGAGAGCTAAGCCTGTCTGATATATAATTTAACCAATGGATACCCTGCATTAACAGACTTATTCAATTAAAGAGATTCAACTTTAACTTTATAGAAGAAAGACATTTTGAAAAAGTCTTTTATAATAGTGAGTGGAAGTTTTGCGGCTATAATAGACATGTTTCCATTGTAGATAGACCCTATTTGAATAAATAATAATGCTATACTAATGCTAACACCAAAGCATTAATTAATGCTAATGGATATATATATTAATATTTTTTAAAATAAATGCGAAAACGATATCCCCGAATTGAATTCAATAAATATAATGTGATATTAATCGAAATCATTTCGATCAATCTATCAATTAGAAACCTTTAAAGAAGTAATTAATTCCAATCTATTTGTCAAATAGATTGGATTAAACAAGAGAACAATTGAGATATTTTAAGCAAACTTTATAGCATGATAACATTTATCGATGAGCTTCATTTGGTTGTTGATTATTTATTAAAGTTCACTTTTTAATAGTTGACAGACTGATTGAATAGATCTATACAATCTTCAAATATGAACAGTTATTTGATAAAACTATTTTTTAGTTATTATTCATCTGTTTGGAGCTTGAAGAAAAACATCTGATGTTTAATTAGTGTTACACATTTTATTTTAGTATGACATTGTCTGGGGATTTAAAATTTTTTTGCTAAGGATTTAAATGGAAAAAGTATGAGGTGGATGTAGTTGTTTATTTTGTCTAAGCCAATACCCTAACCTATACACCTTCAAAAAACAAGAATCTGTCTTGATAAATTTTAATTAACTAATTCAAATATTCTTATTGATAATCTATCATATTTATTGAAATAAAATAAAAATAATCGTTATTTAACTATTCTTCAATTATATTCATTTATTTAGAGAATCAATAGATAATATTACATAGAAATTTCAAATATTCGTCGAAATTTATTTCATGTTGGTAATATAATCCTAATCCTAATCACTTTAATTGTCACTTTTTATCAAATATTGACAAGACAAGTAATCAATAATGTTTAATCATCATAACCACTGTCACAAATGATTCATTTGCTCTTCCACACCTTCACATACTCGATCGAAATAGATAATTAAATCAAGTAAAATAGAGTATATGAAAAACAAAAAAAAAAGTTGAATAACAATGCTGTATTTTCTTCTTCTTCTTCTTCTTCGTTATTCCGATAAACTAGATTGTTAAATAGCATGTTTTCATCAGAACAATTATTTTTACACATTTCATTTGCAAGATCGACGAATGAATGCTCCAAAGTTAATAGAAGATTTATTTTGAAGAATACTGAATTCTAAAGATTTTCATGTCTTTTTTTCTTTAGTGTCATTGACTTCTGAAAACGAAAGTCTTTTTCACAGAACAATATTTCTTAAAACAATTTCGGACAACTGTCGTATACAAAACCTCGGCTTTAGTCGATTTTTATCAGACACAATCGATAGACCATTTATTCAGCTTTTCAATACCGTTATAAACCACGATATTTTTAATACACGGTAAGTGGTAGTTTCTAAAAACATAAAAAATAGTATCATTCTACTGTGATAGTATACAGTTTTTTCATAAGTCTGTACTAGAGCAACACACCTAATTGAGGATGTGCTATGTCTACCTGCAATTTGTTAATAGCTAGGTGATCTATCTATCAAGAAGTGATGTAGTGAACTTTCATAAATCCCATTACTTTAAGTTCCTTTAGCATTTGCATATTAAATTAGGATTATTCTATTAGAAATAGTTGGATAGGACATCTTCGTTATCTTTACGCATTTTCTCATTCATGAATATTTACTGTAACGAGGGTGTAAAAACAAGTAACCAGAAGATGCATATCGACTGTAAAAACTGCAGAATTAGATACCATGATGACAACCAACAAATTGCGCTTTAAAAAATCAACACGTATGATAGTATTTAATATCACAGTTCCAATAATATCGATCACATTTCACCGAGATCTTCCTCATAGTTTTTTTCTGTGAATTGTATAGAAACATTAAATGATATTTCAATTGCCTATTTTTTCTAGCTGTTTTTAAATAAGATTTGAATCATTGTAAAATACCTATTAATGTTTTTATAATTCTATCTCGTAAAATGAGAAATCAACTTGTTTCTCTATGAGAGACCTTTCAAATAATCATTATTAAAATACGAACGTCAAATAAATGAGTTTAAATATTTTTTTGTTTGCATTTCGTTAAGAGAAAAGTAGAGAGAGAAATATAATGATCCCTGAAATATCCGATAGTCTAATGATCGAATATTTAACTCTGTTGACGCATTATAGATAAGTAATTGATGTCATCAAAAACAAAAGAAAAAAGAAACATGACAATATGAAAGAGAACTAATTTGAGAAAATCTTCATTGAAATCATCATCGAACCTGGACGAATAATAACATTAGATCATTTATTTGTTAATTAATTAACACTTTGAATTTAAAAAAAAACGATTTAAAGACAGAATATTTTTTTGGTTAAGAAAGAAATACGAATTTATTCAATTTTATTAAATTGATTAATTTAAAAAAAAACTGCAAACTATATATTGAGTCATAGATTTTATTTTAATATTGATTTGAGAAAAATATTGAATAAAAAGAATATAAATAAACTAGTGTCCTCTTTTGTTAGTTCTATAGAAAATATATTTGATTGGATTAAATCAAGAATATTTCATTTTAATAAATATTATTCTATTCGGCGGAGATCTTTTTCTCTTTGTCTTCAATTCATAAAATAATTTATCTTGAAAAAAAAACAAAAAATGTCGGAAAAATTTCGTCGAGAAGAAAATGATGATGAAGTTAAAAATATTGATCGTAAAAGAAATGAATCAAGTTCTATTCATGGTTCATCTTCAACAACACCAAAACGAAGTCGTCGAGATAAAGATGATGTTGAAAAAGAATTAATTAATGAATTTTGTTCAAGTTCAAATATTGAATTAAATCGAAAAGAAAAAGTTCATGGTTCATCACAATTAGATAATTTTTATGCATCATTTTTACCATCAAGTCAATATTATGAAAGATCTTATATGCATAGAGATATTGTTACACATGTTATTGTAACAGTAACGGATTTTTTAATAAGTGCTTCACAAGATGGTCATATTAAATTTTGGAAAATTTTAACATCTGATTATTTAAAACAACAACAAACAGCTGTTGCAACAAATCAATCATCAAAAACAAATGATGAACAACAAGAACAAAATAATTGTTTAATTCCATTTCCTATTCAATTTGTTAAACATTTTCGTGCTCATTTAGGTAAATATTTGTTATTTTAATTATCTTATTAAATTATATTTAATAAATTAAGGTCCAATATTATCAATGTGTGTAAATGTATCTGGAACATTATTATGTTCAATATGTTCTGATCGTACATTAAAAATGTTTGATGTATTATCATTTGATATGATAACAATGGTTAAATTAGATATTCAACCATTAACTTGTTCATTTGTTGATTCATCTCGTCAACCGTTATCAAAATTAGCTATATCAGATAGTCAATCATCTTCTATATATATATATGATGCTAAAACATTAAATATAAAAGAACCATTAAAAATCTTATCAAATATTGGTCATGGTTCATCAGTAACAATAATAAGTTATTCATCTGAATATGATTTAGCTATATCATGTGATCAAACATCAATTATTAATTATTGGTCACCAACACATATTGAATATTTACCTAATAATATATTATTTAAATCAAAATTAGATACGGATTTATTTGAATTAGTTAAAAGAAAATTAATTCCAATTGCATTAGAATTTAATAAAAATGGAGATTTATTTGCTTTATTTGGTAAATCTTTATTAGAAAAAAAATTATTTCTTTTTAATACATTAAAAGGTAAAATATTAAAAATCTTTGATGAACATTTTGATATATATAAACAATTACATGAACGTTTACAATATAAACAACAAGAAGAAGAAGAAGATCATCATCATGATGATAATGATAATGAGAAAAAAAAATTTAATTTAAATATATTAAATAATGTTGAATATTCAAGACGTTTAACTATTGAAAAAGATTTAGAAAAAAATTCTTCTATTTATTCATTAATTAATATTCAATTTGATTCATCAGGAACATTTATTTTTTATTCAACATTATATGGAATTAAAATGTTAAATATTCGAAATAATTCTATTAAATTATTTTTTGGTACAACCGAAAATGCGAGATTTATTCGTTTAGCACTTTATCAATCTCAAAAATCATCAAATGATAATATTAATCCAACTATTCTTTTTGCAACGGCTTTTAAAAAAAATAGATTTTATTTATTTACAAGAAATAATCCACAAGGTAATATTTGAATTTTTTTTTATTTATTATATTGATTTAATTTTAGACAATCGAACTGAACATGATAATGATCGAGATGTTTATAATGAAAAACCATCACGTGAAGAAATTTTAACAGCAACAGAAGAACAAGCATTATCATCATTATCTCAATCAGCTATTATTCATACAACATATGGGGATATACATATTAGATTATTTCCCGAATATGTTCCCAAAACTTGTGAAAATTTTATTCAACATTCAAAACAATCTTATTATAATGGTTGTATATTTCATCGTGTTATTAAACAATTTATGATTCAAACAGGTTAATTATATATTACAGTAGTGGCAAAAAGTCCCGACCCTAGGTGAAAACTATCTAAATAATGGTTGTTTACTTTGAAACTTGTACTGAAGCAAGGTCTTGGCGATTCCTGATCCTAGGCAAAAAGTCGAGTTCTATCCCCTTAACTGTAGCTGAGATATCAGATCAACATCAAGGATTTTTTTCTTATTGTGTTATCTAGGACTAGGAAAGAGATACAATACTGCTCGACCTATCGTTGGAAAGTCCCGCTCTTAGTCTCTCTTCAGTAAAATTTTCATTACAAAACGACATGTCTTCGTTAAGTTGTGGCCTATATACTGCTTACACACGAAACTGGCATATTGCAACCCTACCAGTATTCAATTCAAATCTCGAGCTAAGCTCAGCCGTTCGGCCTGAAAATTTTATTGTAGACTGCATAAGTATGGGCAAACCTATGCTAAAACTTTCAGCATTATAGCCTTTACAGAGATGGAGATTCATATCGTTCTATGCCTCTGGACCGACAGCTCTGGGAATTCACTAGGGTACGGCAAATCTAAGTGGCCTTTCTGGTATGGGTAGACCACCATCAGAACTACCTATTGCACTAAAAATATTACCTTTACTTCAGAAAATCGAAAAGCACCAGCATTTCCTTCGAATATCACATAATTTTGTCAAAAATATGAAGAAAAAAATTCTTGATGTTGACCTGATATCTCAGTTTCAGTAAAGGGACAAGATTCGAGTTTTTGCCTAGGATCAGGACTCACCAAGACCTTGCTTCAGTACAAGTTTCAAAGTAAACAACCATTATTTAGATAGTTTTCACCTAGGGTCGGGACTTTTGGCCACTACTGTATATCTCATTATTCTCTCTTTTGTTTTTTTTTATAAAGGTGATCCATTAGGAAATGGTACGGGTGGTCAATCAATATGGGGAAAAGATTTTCAAGATGAATATCATCCTCAACTAAAACATGATCGTCCATATACTGTTTCAATGGCAAATGCTGGACCAAATACAAATGGTTCACAATTTTTTATAACTGTTGTTCCATCTCCATGGCTTGATAATAAACATACTATTTTTGGAAGAGTTTCAAAAGGAATGGATGTTGTAGAAAAAATTTCTCAAGCGAAAACCGATCGACTTGACAAACCTTTAGATGATATTAAAATCATTTCAATATCTATTAAATAAATAAGATATATATTTTCTTCTTTTCTTTCATTTATTTCAGATGTCTATTCAAGTTAAATTTCAAACTAAATTAGACAAGTATATAGATATATAGTATTAAAATAAAAACTAAACTTTATATTATTAAGATATTCAGTTCCTGATACAACATTAGTTATTCCATCATCATCAACTAATTCTCAATTAGAAGCTATTTTAAAAGGATTATTAAAATCTACAGGTTTAATTTAATTTCTATTTAAATATAATAAATATATAATTATTTGTTTAGTATCTTCAAATGAATTATCTCGTATTTCATTTGATTTTTTATGTATTAATAAATTAATTCGTTCATCATTAGAAGAACATATACGAGAAAAAGATGAATCATTACTTGAATCAATTATTTCAATTGAATATATTGAAAAATTTCAAGGACCACAACCCGAAGATGCATTAATGCATGATGATTGGGTATCAGCTTGTCGATCATTAGGTGATTCAATATTAGTTGCTTCTTATGATACTAATCTTCATTTATGGAATAATCAAGGAGAACATATTATTAGTCTTCCAGGACATACTGCTCCTGTTAAATCAATTTATTTTATTTATTCAGGTTTTTTTTTTTTTTTTTTTTTTAAATTTTTTCATTAAATTAATTAAATTAAAATAAATAGATGAAGGTGAACATAAATTTATAAGTGGT